AGAATAATATATCACATATATCTACACAACAAAGCAGAGTGTAAGGAGAAACAAAATGGAAGGGTATTACATATAATATGGAGATACTCCTGTGTCTGGAGAAGCCATGTTTAGGACTCAGGATTCAAATGGGCTAAGTTCATCTATGTTCCAAATGAGGACATATTCCAGAAATAGGGAAACAGTGAGCCTTAGATTTTTCCCAAATTGATGACTGTGAGCAGGAGTTTCTTTTTATATATATTCTCAAAGGGAAATGACACGTTGTCTGATCTGTTTACTGCAACTCCTCTGCTCACACTGGTACAATTTCAATTATTCATAGCTCATTCAAAAGCCCTAGAAAAGTTAGGTGAAAGGAATACATGGCACAGTGGATAAAGGCGTTGGTTAGATTCAGTGACAGGACCCAAAGAGTGTGAGTTCAATACTCTGTTAAGGCAGTGGAGAACTTGGAGAGGGGAATTAACAGGAGATAACTGATAACTGACATCCATCAAACATGGCACGTGGAACTAGAACAGTCTACCCCAGTGAGCAAAATAATGGGTTCAATTCAACATTCCAACCACCTGAAGAAGGCTGGAGTGTACAATGGCCGAAACATTGAGATAAATATGGTGACAAAGATGAGGACAATAGTCTGAATAATGTAAATAATGTGAAAGGAATGATGTTTGCCAGATTATGTGAGGTTAAAAATATATATTAATATATTATACTAGGTATTACCATTGCTTTCATGGTTTCTAGGGGAGTAACTATTATTTTTCTTTTGTATCCAAAATTGCAGTACTCGTTTTACTTGGCGTTTAACAAGTTGGCGTTTTGTAAAACTTTCCTTAACTATATCAAGCCAATTTATGAATGAAATGTTCATTTAAAATTTTTATTTCGAATATTTCAAGTAGCGAATATATGTTACTTTGTGACACGATAGCGAGCATGTGAAGTCCACTAGTTTCTAATAAAGGATAACCATGGTCAACAATGAAATAAGAGGTTATGGGGGTTCTATCAACAGAGGGAGGTACCATTTCAATTCACAGTTAGCTCACTGTACTGCACCAAAAAGTACCTGATTCCTCTTAACATGCTTTTTATCTTTAAAAGAATCAGATTTGATCAAAAATGAAGTATTGCTGACATATCTGGGAAGGAGCTGCTTATTTCTCATTTTCCAGTTAAAATTATTTACATCGCCTTGTGGGGATGACTTATTTTCCACCTTGTAGCCTTGTCCCCAAAGATGAAGTATTGGTAGCCTATCACTACTCTCTCATTACTTCCCTGGTGAATTTTCATCCAAGACTCAACATGTTACACCCTCAGAGTCAAACCACTCTCATTCCCTACATATTCCATTTGTAAGGAGGAAGTTCTATGCAGACAGATTTTCTCAAAGAACTGCTGCTTTGTGGAACAAATTCTTGTATGAATCCTTTCTCAAATGCTCCATCCTTAATCCCTTCAAGTCAATGGTTAATTATTAGTTCAAAGTCCAGTCAAGTTTGTTACATCACTTATTCTGAAATACTCTGGGGAGAGATATTAATCCATCTCCCTGCTATGGGTTAAATAGTAGGATTTGTATCTGGAAAAATCATTATTCTCAAAAAATTGTTAATGCAACATTCACTGCCCCTCCAAAAAGAATTCTTCTTGCAGTGCAAAATATATTTTGGCTTTAAATAATCCACTTAGGGTTGATAAGCTATAAAAAACAAATCAAATTATATTTCCTACTTTTTACATTCATATTACACCTCTTTCAGTAACCCTTACATTGAATGGTTCGAGCTTTATATTGTGTAAAAAATTTAGTAAGAAAAAAAACATTTTCAAGTTTTTTAGCCAAGCCAAATATATAATTCAATATGTGGTAAATATATAAAACAGTGTGGATAATTTTTATTTTCACATATTTTGTTGATGAAAAAAAAATTTTATTTCAGAAGAAGAAAGTTTAAATCAACAAGACAAAATCTGATTTACATTAAGCATATAAACACTTGATTTTTAATTAAACTGTATTCTGTTATTAGATTTTAAGTAATTTTCCCTTTTTGTTTTTATTTTTAATTATATTTAGTTTATCTTTAAAGATTAGGGGACTCGTAGATCATCGTCTTTCTCAATGCAGTTTTGCCTGAGTAAATTATAAAATTACCTTTGAATTAAACATGTAAAAAATAATTTATAAATGAGACAGCGTAAACTCTTTATTGCTCAGTACAATGATTCTTTGTAATTTACAAAAAAAAAAAAAATTTTTTTTTTCTAGTAATTTTTTTTTTTCCTGTTTCCAGTTTCACAGAGGCTGAAGCAAATATCACCTGTCGTCATCTTGGTTTCCGAAATGGGAATTTTACTTACCATTCTTTCTCCTGGAATCTGACTGACTATCTCCTCTTTGAGCGACCTCGATGTGCTGGGCAAGAAAATTCCTTGACAGAATGCCCCGGCTGGTTAAATATAAAAATTGGTCCCCATGTGTGTGGTGAGGATTCATGTTTTTATCATAACTTTAGTCCTTGTAATTACAATACATCAAACAGTATATCAAGAGAATGTAAAGGACAAGTTTAGTTCTCTGTTTCTATAAGTCTCTTCAAGTAAACAGTGTTCTCCTATCTCTCTCCAGTCAGTCATAATTTAGTCTCACACTGATCAGTCTACAATGAGAAGACAGTCTCCAGCATTAACTTGAAACATTCCAACTGATGATTTGTCATATCACAGACACTGCTGGTTATTTATATTTTAAAAAAAAAAAAGGCCTCAAGGAGACATTGTACATGGTTTGGCAACTGCAAAAAAAAAAAAGAAAATTAAAACACCCCTCCTCTTTTATCTGTTAACTATTTATGAATAGTCATAGTGTCCTTCAATATAAAACATGAATGCTCATCTGGGAGAAATCATTTTCACTTCACCTGGGTTGGGTGGTTTGGTTTGGTTTGTTTTATGGCATTTCAACCTCAATAGGTTATTTAATGTCGACAAGATTTTTATTGCTGGTAATATTTTCTTTTTTTTTTTTTTTTTTTAAAAATGTATTGCTGGCAATATTTCTTTTTCGAAAAATGTATTGCTGGCAATATTTTTTCTTAAAAAATTATTGCTGGTAATAATTTTTTACAAAAATGTATTCCTGGTATTAAAACCTATTTTTAACTTTCACAGTGTTTTGACCCCAGTTTAGGGGTGAATTATTTGCCCATAGGTGGGACCCTAACAGATGCTGCCACCTCAGGTCAGAGTAGACCTGGGAGCACCAGCAATTAAGAGGTGGTTTCATGCTTCTCAATCTCCTGATCAGAGGCCTTGCTGTTGGATGTGGTTTATTGTCTTATTCAGAACGTACCTGTAGTGGGTGTGTAATAAGTCTTGTAATGATAGATACAAGACTTCATATATGAGAGACTGGTTATCATTTTATTTGTTTTCTTCAACATTTTATATAAAGCTGTAATCAGGATTTCTACTGGAGTTTTATCCAATCTAGTTGTTTGGTCTAAAGAACAAAATTGCTTGGTAATTTTTTATTTGTTTCAATGAAACTACTGTTTCTCTAGCTTCATTAATATGTTCACAATATTCATCTCATCATATCTTAAAAGAAAAAAGACTCCTAAAAATATTGCTGGATGTTTTTTCTTTCAACAGTTGCTCTCTTCAGAGTTCTCTGAAATATTTTCTTCATTTAGTAAATAATCTAGAAAAGCAATCTCAATTTTGTTCTCTTAGCCTGTTAGTTCTCTGACCTTACTCAGCTGACAGTTTCCTGCATGTGGTATTAACGTTCTTCTCTGAATTACTTATTGAGAAATAACCCAAAAATTGCTGAGTGACACTAAAAGATTATCAAATGTAATTTTTTTTTTTTTTTTTTTTTTTACTAAAATATCACCTAATACAAGGCTTAATAATCCTGTGACCTCAGCCAAACCAACACAAGAAATTGTCCAACTCCTGGCACTACCCTTACAGCTGATTTCCATCCTGACAATCAGCAACAGAAGCCATAAATTTTTGATTGGATTCAGATCAGGACTTGATAGTGGCCATTGCATTATCTTCTCTCCTGTAAACCTTTTGCGCCAAAAAATTCAGCAATAACCTTAAATGTATGAGAAGGAGCATTGTTGTGCATAAATACACACTTCACTTTGAAATTGTGAGAATAGGATTGGTAGCATTCAAAGAAAGTTTTGTCCATGAAATTGCAATAGTTAGCACTGTTCAGTTTAACTCCTCCATCAACTTATAAAGGTTGAATAATGGTTTTATCAACAACTAGCAGAATGGCCCAGTGTTGCCTGTGCTTGATTCAAAAATCATACGACTCATACAGCAATTGCTATCACTTGACTTAAAATATTTTTGCGAAGCTGCTTGATCAAAGAAATCAGCTGTGTTTATGTTGGCTCCGGTTAGCATCGTAATTGTTTGGCAAATCTTTTGGTTGATGACTAAAAATTAACTTCCGCATTTTGACTGTACACATGGGTTTCATTTGGACACCATGTGTATTTAAAGTAGTTTCCAGTTATTATTTTTAGTTAGGAGCACTTGTGTATGTTTGTTTCATTTGTTTTACTTTTTGTGTATCATTCTCTGGAAAAAAAACGCTGAGTCACCGGAAGTTAATAGCATTCATTCTGTTTTCGGACGTTTGAGTAGCTGGCAGTAACTTCTGGCCAGGTGCGATACCCTTAATCATTCTTTCAAATTGATTTTGTGCAAAAACAATTGTGGTTTTTCCAATCTTTGGCACTGTCAGAACCACCACCGGGTAATTTTGCGTAGTCCTGTGAAGTTTGTTGAAATCAGTTGAAAAATGTAGGAAATACGATCCCATATATAAACGAACACACACACACTGCATTTTATAATAAGTAAGATTCCAGCCCATGTCATCACACTGCCACCTTACTGCAGACTTCTTTTAGTCACAGGCACATCTGCATCAGATAAAAATACATTCTTTCATCCATTCTTTAGATCCACTGAGTGTCACCCAAGATTCGTTTATGAAAATGACTTTAGAAAAATCAATTTTTATGTATTTCTAGGCCCAAATTTGATGCTTTGAAATATTTGCTTTACTGAGAGGAGATCTCTTGACAGATTCCAATTTGGGATGCATTCTACAAATTTTTGTCTTTGACTCCCTCAATTCTAGAATATTCAAAGATTCACTGCTCAAAAGTGGTTGTTTCCATTGTAACCGACTTTAGTTTATGCTCCGCTCAAGGAGTCAAGTTCTTAAAGCTTTTTCCTTTGTTTCTAGTTCTCAACTTTATGGCTCTTTATGGCTCTCACTGAAAAATCTCTGCAAAGCTCCTTTGATATCACCAATGTGGACATTCCCACACTCGATAACTTTGTTATTTTCTGTTTTTCAGCATTTCTTAGATCCTTTTCATTACCCATGTTTCAACATACTCAATTAGTATTGTTAATGTGTACATCAGTAGCTATAAAAAAATCAATTTTCAATTACTATGGTTAAACACACGAATCAAGTATTATGCAGGCACTGATCGAAATTTTGTATCTGAAAATTTTAGTGCACTAATCAAAAATTCATTAATTGAATGTGCGTTAATCAAGGAATGCCTGTATATTACGGAAAAAAGAAGAAAATAGTTTTATTAGATTTCAGAGGCCTTAAAATAATATTAGTTTAATTGGCATAATAACTTCAGCCTGCAGTTTTTCTTTCAGTAACTTTAATAAAATGTTAAAATTACATAAAAATTTAACTCCAGCTATATTTTGACTTCTAAATTAATCATTTAAAATTTGCCAAAAATTATTCAAAGCATATTCAAGTAATTGAGATTTATGGGATTTGCATATCTTATATATATATATATATATATATATATATATATATATATATATAGAAGAAAAATAATACTGAAAAAACAAACAAAAATCTTAATATGAGATTATGCTGTTTTAATGTTTAATGTCAACGTCGGACGTTTCGGTCTAATAGACCATCTTCAGGATATATTCATAAAACATAATTAATATAGACCATATACAATTCAACATGAAAAGACGATGGACATAAAAGCAATACCAATCCAAACAGGTAACTGAAATCTTTTATAAGATCAGCGTTCCATTTAAATATGATCACGTCATCGTCACGTGGGCGATGTTGTGAAAACGTATTCCTAAAATTTATCAAAAGGTGAACATTGATGAATATAACAAGATAATCAATGATGTCCCTGTAAATAGTAAATGAGGAGGGAAAATTGGAACACAATTAAAATTGATTTTAATTGTAAACAAATTGATGACTAAAAACAAAAGGTTACAAAAAGAGTATAAAATAGAAAAAAATTTACTGATACTCCTTCGATCAACATAAAGAATGAATGAAGTGTTCCTTTTGTTTACATGGGATTGGCTAATGAAATTTAATGTACACAGCCTCAAAAACCCTAAGATGGCAGATCAAGCAAGCTCTATGTAAGATAGAAAAAATTCATCATTGTAATCTACGACAGGATTGTCGAATAAATGTTGTCCAATGTAAGAGTTGGGCACAGATTGAGTGGTTCTTTTTATACAATTCTGGCAGGCATGTTTTGCATAATGTGAGTTTCCAGCCTTTGATTGGTTTATCTTGTGTATACTGCATCACAACAGCATTTAAATTTATATATAACAGAACTATTCTGAAGATAGGATAACCGATCTTTGCTGAAGAATGGAAACGCGGATCTAGTCTCAAAGACAATACACAACTTAACAGCATTATAGCACAAAGTAATGTGCATCAAAACTCTGTCAGCAAGCAATTGGTACTTCCTACCTAGCCATGGAAATTTCAAGTAAAATTGGACACCGTTTGGATCCTAAAACCATTGGTTCTTTAAATCATCTGATTTTACATTCAATAATGCTATAATTTGATATTAATACGAAAACCATTTTCAATAAAAATTTCTTGGATCCTTGCAAGTTCTTCATTTAACATACTAGAACAAATCATCAAAGCATGATGGACAAAGGTGGAACCCAGACCAATCTTTTCAGGCCTTAGGAATGAAAGAGTTCCAATTTCTGTACAAGCCTGTGAACATGGTTTTTTGAAAAATATTGGTGACAAAAGCACCACCTTATGTTCTTTGAGAACATCTAAAAAGGGCAACGTACCTTCACACTCAACATCTATAGTAAATTGAAGGAATGGATGGAGAGAATTGAGTTCCACAAAAATGTCAGTGGCATCTCTAGCAGAATCAAAAATGGAAAAGGTATCATCAACATACTGCATATAAACACATGACTTGCAGAACTTTTCAAACAAAAGTCCTCCCATGAAATCCTACAAAAAATTAGCTAGTATAGGACCTAAAGGACTACCCATTGAAACCACATCTGTCTGGGCATACATAACATTGTCAAAACTGAACTTGACACCTTCAGGCGCATGCATTCCAAAAATAAGTTTTCAGCGGTACCTAAATT